ATCCCATATGGGCGCCGGTTCTAATCCCGGCAGCCCCGCTTCCCTTCCAGCTCCCTGCCTGTGGCCCGGGAAAGCAGTCGAGGACGGCCCAAAGCTTTGGGACCCTGTACCCGCGTGGGAGACCCGGAAGAGGCTCCTGGCTTCGGATGGGCATAGTATCGGCCCGTTGCGCTCACTTGGGGAGTGAATCATCAGACGGAAGATCTTCCTCTCTGTCTCTCCTCTCTGTATATCCGCCTTTCCAATGAAAAAATAATAATAAAAAAAATAAATCTTAAAAAATGACTTATTAAAATAAATAAATAAATAGAGCCTGGCATGAGGGCTCAACTAGCTAATCTTCCACCAGCAAGCACCAGGATCCCATATGGGCGCTGGTTTGTATCCCAGTTGCTCTACTTCCCGTTCAATTCCCTGCCTATGGCCTGGGAAAGCAGTAGAGGATGGTCCAAAGCCTTGGGACCCTGCACTCGCGTGGGAGATCCGGAAGAAGCTCCTGGCTCCTGGCTTGGGATTGGCTCAGCTCTGGCCATTGTAGTCATTTAGGGAATGAACCAGTGGATAGAAGGTCTTTGTCTCTCCTTCTCCCTGTAAATAAGTCTTTAAAATAAATACATAAATGAACTTGGGAAAAATGGACGGACAGCCTCACAGGCTGTGTCCAGTGCTGCACTATTCCTCCAGAGGGCAGCCTTCTCCTTCTAACCCGTCCCGCAGCTGCTGCCTGGCAGCCAAAGCAGGCGGCTGAGGCTCCCGGGAACGGCTCGGGCGGGCGGCTAAGGCTCCCGGGGCTCCCGGGAACGGCCGGGTGGGCGGCCGAGGCTCCCGGGAACGGCCCAGGCGGGCGGCCGAGGCTCCCGGGAATGGCTTACAGGTAGGGGTGGCAGGTGCAGTTGTGCACCTTACTCTCCCATTTCACAGCTGGAAAAAGCAAGGTTCCAAGAGGTTCCAAGGTCCCTGGCTGAGAGCCACACAGATGGGTGGGTGTGGGGCAGTTTGCTTCTCTGAGCTCCACTTTCCTTAAAACACACTGACCCCTTAGAAATTGAATTTCTGTGTTTATAGACTGGACTTTATGCACACCGCACATCCCAGTCATGGCCTCACAGCAGACTTTTTTTTTTCCACTTAGCTTGAGGCCTGCTCAGGAACACGTGTTCCCTTCCTTGTCACGGTTGAAAGGTGCTGTGTTGTCACATTTGGTTCACCTGCTCGTGAGCTAGCAGGGGCGCGGGGGCATCTGAGGTGTTTCTCCCTTTGGTGAGTAGGGATGATGGTTCCAGGAACGTCATTTTTGTGTGCACCCGGTTCCCCTTTCTGGGGTATATACCAGGCGTGGAATTGCTGAGTCATGTGGTAACTCTGTGTGCCAGTGTAATTTTTTTTGAGAAACTGCCCAGCTGCCCCAATATCTGCCTTCTCGAGCAATGTAAGAGGCCTACTGTGTGCCCAGGCCAGTGCTTGTTACCGTCCATCTTTTTCACTAGAACCATTCCAGGGGGTATGACTCATCGTGGTTGTCACTTTCATTTCCCCAAGAACTAACTAATAGCGTTGTCTGGTCTTGTATGAGATTTCCAATATTGCTGGAACATTGAATGAAAAGATGGAAGTTCCTTTTTGATGCAAAAGTTTTGAAATGCAAGCATCCATGGGCCTTCAAGAAGTTCACGGGATGGGGACGGTGCAATGTTATAATACAGTGAGTTAAGCTGCAGCCTGCAGTGCCAGCAACCCATATGGGTGCTGGTTCGAGTCCTGGCTCTTCCACTTCGGATTCAGTCCCCTATTAATACACCTGGGAAAGCAGCAGTGGATGACCCAAGCACTTGGGCACCTGCCACTCACAGGGGAGACCTGGCTCGAATTCCAGGCTCCTGGCTTTGACTGGTGCAGCCCTGGACACTGCAGTTCAAGTGGGGAGTGAACCAGTAGAGAGATGAGATCTCTGTCCTTCCCTGCCTCTCTGTAACTCTGCCTTTCAAATAAATAAATGAACCTTTGAAAAACAAAAAAGTTCGTGAATGGGTAAGCATTTAGCCAGGAGGTGAAGACCCTCATGGCCCCCATGAGTGTTGGACACCATCTTCAGCCGCTGACCCCAGCTTCCTGTTGATGGGAACTCTGGGAAGCCACAGTGATGACTCAAGTGGTTAGGCTCCTCCCACACACGTGGGGAACCTGGGTTGAGTTTCTGCTCCTGTTTCCTGGCTTTGTCTCAGTCCAGGCCACCACTGGCATCTGGGGCGAGAAGCAGTAGGTGGGAGTTCTAGCTCACCTGTCATGGGGTCAACATGGTGGCTTCATAAGTTAATCCTCCATCTGCAGCACCCATTTGTATCCTGGTTGCTCCACTTCTGATCCAGATCCCTGTTTATGACCTAGGAAAGCAGCAGAGGATGGCTCAAGTCCCTGGACCCACGTGGAAGACCCAGAGGAAGCTCCTGGCTCCTGGCTTTGCATCAGCTCAGCTTTGGCTACTGCAGCCATTTGGGTAGTGAACCAGGGGATGGAAGATCTCTCTTTCTTGTCTGTCTCTCCTTCTTTCCAAGAAATCTGTCCTTCAAGTAAAAATAATAAAATCTTAGAAAATCATGTGCATCAAAATAAGCTTATCTTTTAATTTTATTCTCTACACACTTTAAAAAACAAACCTTACTTGCATTTTATTTGAAAGAAATGGATAGCTAAGATTAGGCCCATCCCTCTGGGAGAGGAGCAGAGGCCTACAGCATTGACCTGCCTAACAGCACAGGGCTTAGGGAAGGAGTGTTAGGGCTTGGGATTCCATCTGGCAAACATTTGGGGATGGGCGGTTGGCACCCACATGAAAGACTTGGATGGAGTTCTGGGCTCGTAGCTTCAGCCCTGGCTGTTGAAGGCTTTGGGGAGTGAATAGCAGTTGGAAGGTCTTCATCTGCCTCTCCTTCCAACAATGAAAATACATGAATACCTACACTTCCCATCAGTGTACATAGGAGCCAGATCTGGGGCAGATCTGGAAGTGGTCCACAGGGGATGTCCCCTTGATTAGGCCACAACACCTGCTAGTACCGCTAGGAGCTGGATATGGGAGCAGGCCTGGCCAGGCTGCAGCACCCACTGGCACATGTTGAGGCTAGATCTGGGAGCAACCTAGTCCTTCTTGACTAGACTGTAGCACCCACCAGGACAAGTAAGTACCAGGTCTGGGGATAGACTGGGACAGAACACAGCACCTGCTGCTCCACCTAAGACTGGGTCTTGGGGCTCGCTGGTCTGGGCTGAGCTGCAGTGCCTGCTGGCATACAAGAGAGCCAGGGCTAGGGACCAACTAAACAAGGACTCTTAGGAGTCATCCCAATGGGTGGCTCCAGCTAATGGTCAACCTTAAGGACATGGATGTCTGGTCTGGCCACGGAGCTCCTGTTGCTGACTCCATCTAAGGAGAGACAACATCCTGGGATGCACAGGAAGGCAGGACAGCCAGCCCTCTGATTCAATGTTGAATAATGCTACAGGTCAAATTCTGCAACAAGCATCTGAGGCTACGGATATACCAGACAGACATTGGCAACCGGCAAGTACAGGAAGTGGTATCACATTTGGCACAACAAAGCCAACGCCATCTCAGAACAATCAAGACTGCTCAAGTAAATTCTTTCCCCCATCAGAGTGCCTGGAACAAACTCAGAGGACCATCTCCGTGCCCTGGCACTGATGTGATCTGGCAGCAAGGAGCAGCATCCTCCCTCCTCCCCCTCTACCCTGTGGTCACAGGAGGGAGGGAGGGGGCTTTTCCCTGGCTCACCGGCCCCCCACGCCTTCCTAGCCCACCAGAGACCTGAATGGTTTGCAATCCTCTCATCTATGTAACAAACATTTAAAAATAAACAAATCTAAATTAAAAACACATGAATAAAACTCTACAAACATTTTTCATAAAATTTACTATGAGGGCTGGCACAAGGATATAGCATGCTACGTCTCAGCCTATAGAACCAGCACACTGTATGGGTGCCACTCGGTGTCCTAGCTGCTCCACTTGTGATCCACCTCCCTGCTAATGGCCTGGAAAAGCAATGGACAATGGCCCCAGGGCACCTGCACCCACCCAAAGCTGGTTCTCAGCTTTGAACTATCTCTGGCCATAGCGACCATCTGGATGGGAGATCTCTCTCTCTCTCTCTCTCTAATTCTTTTTTTTTTTTCTTTTAGGATTTATTTTATTTTTATTGGAAAGGCGGATATACAGAGAGGAGAGACAGAGAGGAAGATCTTCCATCCGATGATTCACTCCCCAAGTGAGCGCAACGGCCGATGCTATGCCGATCCGAAGGCAGGAGCCTCTTCTGGGTCTCCCACGCGGGTGCAGGGTCCCAAAGCTTTGGGCCGTCCTCGACTGCTTTCCCAGGCCACAAGCGGGGAGCTGGATGGGAAGAGGGGCTGCCGGGATTAGAACCGGCGCCCATATGGGATCCCAGGGTGTGCAAGGCAAGGACCTTAACCAGTGCGCCACCGCGCTGGGCCCTCTCTCTAATTCTTTCAAGTAAAATAAACAAATCTGTTTTAAAGACTTATTTTTATTTTTATTGGTAAGACAGATATACAGAGAAAAGGAAGTACAGAAAGAAAGATCTTCTGTCTGCTGGTTCACTCCCCAAGTGGCTGTAACAGCCAGAGCAGAGCCGATCTAAAGCCAGGGGCCAGGAGCCAAGAGCATCTTCTGGGTCTCCCACATAGGTGCAGGATCCTAAGGCTTTGGGCCATCCTCGACTGCTTTTCCAGGCCATTAGCAGGGAGCTGGATCAGAAGTGGAGCAGGTGGGACACAAACCAGTGTCCACATGAGATGTTGGCACTTGAAGATAGAAGATTGGCCTATTGAGCCATGGTGCTGGTCCCGTTTAAATAAATAAATCCTTAGGAGAAAAATAATGTACTATGGCCAATCACTGTGAGGCGTCCCTGAGACCCATAATTTTTCATCACTAATAAAACTTTTCCACAGGCAACAGCTTGTCTTGTTTTTTCGCTTTTGTCCCCACAATTATCAGAGTGGCACATGGAGAAGGTAAGTGGAGGCTAGCCTCCCTTCGTGCCGTGGCTCTGGTCTAGCTCTCAGCAATCCTGGCTTCCTCAGAGCTGTGGATGCAGTGGTAGGCCCAGAATCCGGGGCCCCAGGCAGGCGATCTCTGCTTATACGGAACTGGTTTTACATATTTTGCATTCAGGTGAACAGAAGGGAAACTGAGGCAGCTCTCAGAAACTTCACCAGGAATGAGGTGCAACAGCAGGACTGGAAGTGTGCTTGGTCCTCTGGACTGTGTGCGTCTGCCTGGGACAGAGGTGGTGTCACTTACTCAGTGGTGACCTTAGGCAGGTCGCTCGCCAGCCCTGCAGCCATCCTCCACCACCACCCCAACCCCTCCAGTTGTGGGGCACACACGTCCCATCCCTAACCGTGCCCACAGCACCCAGATTTTTGGTTGGCTGGCAGAATGCACTCTCCTTCACATGGAGTGTTGGCCGGAGCTTTTGTGTAAAGTGGAGTTCTGAGGGAGAGATGCTCTCTTTGCCCTTTTTTTCCCCCTACTTCATCTGAAAGGTAAAGATACAGGCCTGGTGCGGTAGCCTAGTGCTTAAGGTCCTTGCCTTGAACGCGCCGGGATCCTATACGGGCATCGGTTCTAGTCCCGTCTGCTTCACTTCCCATCCAGCTCCCTGCTTGTGGCCTGGGAAAGCAGTCGAGGAAGGCTCAAAGCCTTGGGACATTGTACCCGCGTGGGAGACCCAGAAGAGGCTCCTGGCTCCTGGCTTCAGATCGGCGCAGCTCTAGCCATTGCGGCCACTTGGGGAGTGACTCATCGGATGCAAGATCTTCCTCTTTGTCTCTCCTCCTCTCTGTATATCTGCTTTTCCATTAGAAATAAATAAATTAAAAAAAAAAAGAATTCATTCAATTTCATACATCTACCCCCATGGGCAGGCTGAACTCAGAAGCCTATAGTCCAGTCAGGTTTCCCACATAGATGGCAGGACTCCAAGTACCTGAGCCATTACCTGCTACCTCCCAAGGTTTGCATTAGCAGGGAACAGAACTGGCACCCTGGGACGGGGTGCAAGCCTTCCTAACCTGCTGTGCCACGATGCCTGCCCCAACACCTGCCCCTCTGCTCCCCTAGCTCTTCCCACTCCCCATCTCCCAGGCTTTGTTGATAAGGTTCTGTATGTACCAAGCCTCGCCTCCCTTGGCTCTGCACCTGCCCAGGTCTGACCCCACACGGCCCCGTCTTCACCCAGCCCTACCTGCTGTAGGCGAGCGGGCAGTGAATTTGCAGGTGAGAGATCTCTAGCTCTTTGTTGTGCTGCCTTTCAAAAATATTAAAATCAACATTTAAAATCAAAAAACCAAAAAGCCCTGCAGGGGCTAGCACTGTGTCTTAGTAAGTTAAGATACCAGCTACAGTGCCAGCATTCCATATGGGCACTGGTTCAAGTCCCAGCTGCTCCACTTTTAGTCCAGCTTCCTGTTAATGTGCCTGAGAAGGCAGTGGAAGATCACCCAAGTGCTCAGGTCCTTGTACCCACGTGAGAGACCAGGAAGAAGCTCCAGGCTCCTGGCTCCTGGTTCCTCGCATTAAATTGACCCATCTATTATGGCCTTTTGGAGAGTAGGCCAGAGAGAGAGATTTCTCTTTCTCTTCCAACCTCTGGTTAATAACTGTCTCGCAAATATGTAAACAAATCTTAAAACAACCTCATCAGTATTTTAGGTTGATCGTATGTGGCAAACCCATGTCACACCTATATGTTAGCTAAGATACCTGAAGTCCCCACTGGGTGCCTGGCAACCATGCCGGGTCTTTGTCCCCCACACCCTCCTGGGTCCTCCTGGTAAAGGCAAAAACCCTATTTCCAACTCCACTTATGAGGTTCAGGCTCAGAAATGTCTCCTGACCTGGCCAACTTCACAGTGCCAGAAACTGACTGGGCAGGAATGCCACCTCCGCAACCTCAGGTGTGCACCACACACCTCCTGCAGCAATTCCTGGTTCCCAGGCAGCGAAACTGCAAAGCCAGCCCCAGCTACCCGAAACTCAACGGCAGCGAACACGCTTAGTCCCCTCGCTGGCTCCCATCCTTCCGCCTGCCCCACCCTGCCACCCCCACTGCCCTCCAGGGCCCTGGGGCCCTGCTCCGACCTCAAACCTGCTGGGCCACAATTCCTTCCAGGTTCCCTCACCTGTGAAGTGGGGATAATGATAGTGCCTCTCTCTCTCTCTCTCTCTTTCGGCTTGTAGGTAAAGTGCCTGCTACCAGCAAGTCAGTGTTCAGGCTGCAGGAGGAGGCGCTGACATTGGGCGTAGTAGACCAGATGGCAGCAACATCTGTCGCTGTGGCAGGGGACACCAAGCTAGGAGACAGTGCTGCAGCAGCAGCCTGCAGCCGCCCAACTCGGCAGTGGAGAACAGACCTTAATCTGGGCTTAGGCTCTGACTTGGTGTGGTTAACAGAACCTACTTGCTCTCCACTGGGCAAATGATATATCATAAAAAAATATTTCATAAAACATATGTGTTTATTTATTTCTATTTGAAAGGCAGATTTACAGAAAGAAGGAGAGACAGAGAAAGATCTTCCATCTACTGGTTCGCTCCCCAAGTGGCTGCAACGGCTGGAGCTGAGTCAGTTCAAAGTCAGGAGCCCAGAGATTCTTCCTGATCTCACACACGGGTGCAGCGGCCCAAGGACTTGGGCCATCTTCTACTGCCTTTTTCTTTTAAAGATTTATTTATTTATATTGCAAAATGAGATATACAGAGAGGAAGAGAGACAGAGAAGAGGATCATCCATCTGATGATTCACTCCCCGAGCCACCACGGTCGGAGCTGAGCCAATCCGAAGCCAGGAGCCAGCAGCCTCTTCTGGGTCTCCCACACAGGTACAGGGCCCCAAGACTTTGGGCTGTCCTTCACTGCCTTTTCAGGCCATAAACAAGGAGCTGGATGGGAAGTGCAACAGCTGGGATACAAATCGGCACCCATATGGGAGTCTAGCACATGCAAGGTGAAGATTCAGCCACTGAGTTATCACGCCAGGCCTAATTTTTTTTAACATTGTCCTTTTTTTTTAAATAAAAATTTTAAATTTTATTTATTTATCTATTTATTTATATTGGAAAGGCAGATCAGATTTATGGAGAAGGACAGAGAGACTTTCCATCTATTGGTTCACTCACCAAATAGCCTCAATGGCCGGACCTGAGCCGATCTGAAGCCAGGAGCCTGGAGCTTCTTCAGCGTCTCCCACATGCGCACAAGGTCCTGAGGCTTTGTGCAATCCTCTACTGCTTTCTCAGGCCACAAGCAGGGAATTGAAAGGGAAGTGGAACAGCCAGAACACAAATTGGCACCTATATAGGATCCTAGTGTTTGCAAGGTGAGGATTTAGCCACTGAGCCACTGTTTTGGGCCCATAAAACATTTTTTTAAGATTTATTTATTTTTATTAGAAAACCAAATGTACAGAGAGGAGGCGAGACATACAGGAAGATCTTCTAATGATTCAATCCCACATGGCCGCAAGGGCCAGAGATGAGCCGATCCAAAGCCAGGAGCCTGGAGCTTTGGCCAGGTCTCCCATGCGGTTACAGGATCCCAAGGCTTTGGGTTGTCCTCTATTGCTTTCCCAGGCTACCAGCAGGGAGCCGGATGGGAAGTGGAGCCATCAGGACACAAACTAGCACTCATATGGGATCCTGGCACATGCAAGGTGAGGACTTTAACTGCTAGGCTACCATACCAGGCCCAAAACATATTTTTTAAAACAAAATTCATTCATTGATCTGAAAGACAGAGTTACAGAGAGAAAGAGAGAGATCTTCTATCCACTGGTTTACTCCCTTAATGGCTGTAAGAGCTGGGGCTGGGCCAGGACAAAATCAGGAAGTGGAACTCCATCTGGGTCTGCCACTTGAGGCCCTCAGCGCTTGGACCACATGCAGTGGCAGGAGCTAGACCGGAAGTGGAACAGGCAGGGCTGAAACCAACACTCATGTGGGGTGCCCCTTTGCAGGCCCACACACAGGCCCCAGTCAGGGTCATTCATAGGAGGCACTGACCTGGACCCATGTGGGAATTAGATTCTACAAACAAGGCATGAGGGGTGCAAAGAGGCCTGGAGATACTCAGAGAGGGGAAGTGGGCTGGAAGGCTTCCTGGAGGAAGTGAGGTTTAACCTGGGCTTGGAGGACCGGGGAGATTTATAGACCACAGAATCTGTGTCCTGGAGCGGTGTCCAGTGGTGTGGTCACAGCTGCCAATCCTTTCTGAGCCACATTCCACGCCGAAAGCCTCTCACATATTATCATGTCACGACTTCCCTCCATCTTCCGCAGTCAGTGTGAGAGGGGATGAGAGAACCAAGGCCCAGCAAACACAAAAACCCAGGGTGGGCAACTGGCACGGCCATTAAATGCTGCTTGGGGTGTCTGCAGCCCAGGTTGTGGGGTCCACCTCTGCTGCTCAGCCAGCTTCCTGGACAGGCAGCAAGCGATGGTGCAAGGACATGGGTCCCTGCCACCCTGTGGGAGACACATGGAGCTCCTGGCTTCTGGCTCCCACCTGCTTCAACTCCAGCTATCACAGGCACTTGGGTGAGTGGAACAGTGGATGGAAAACCTCTTTCTTTCTGTCTCTCTCCCTTTAAAATAAATGAAAATAAACACGTTTTTACATTTTTTTTCTAAAAAAATGTAAACATGTTAAAAACAGGCATGGGGTCACACAGCTAGTAGGTAGCGGAGCGTGCATTTGATCCCAGGGCTGCTGGCTACAGCATCTGGACTCAGTCCCCATGCATTCCTCCCACCTTGTGCCCAGTGACCTGTGAGGCATGAAGCTTTTTAATTTACTTTTCAATTTAAAACACTTATTTAAAAGATTTGTTTATTTGCAAGGCAGAACGACAGAGAGGGAGAGACAGAGATCTTCCACCTGTTTCACTTACCAAATGGTCGCAATAGCGGGGGCTGGGCCAGGTTGAAGCCAGGAGCCTGGAGCTTCTTCCAGGATGTCCACTTGGATGCAGGGGCCCTAGCATTTGGGCCATCCTCTGCTGCTTTCCCACGTGTGTTAGTAGGGAGCTGGTTGGGAGGTGGAGCAGCCAGGACTGGAACTGGTCCCCATATGGGATGCTGGCGCTGCAGGTAGCAATTCACCCGCTGTACCACAGGGCCAGCCCCTGGGAGGGGCTTGAATGCCAAGGCACAGAGAGATCGCAGAGGCCAGGCAGGAACCCGGCAGGCAGGAACCCGCAGGCAGGAACCCGCAGGCCGACAGTCCAGCAGTAACTTCTAGCAGCCAGTCTCAACAGGACAGACAGGAATGGCAATGCTTATCAGCCAGGGAGGCTTTTGAATGACAGAGGGTCATGTGATGGAAAGAACTGTTTAAGAAAAACCTGGAGATGTTTACTGGGAATATTGTTGCGAGTTCTGGACGCCCCCCACCCCCCGCCATGGGCCTGGCTGGCAAGGGGCAGGGCCTGGTTTGGGAACCAGCAGTTTAGAGAGCTGGGTAATCCTGGGGTCCACGCGGGTTCTCAAATCAGCGACGCCCATGTGGTTGACCTTGGGCGAGTTGGCCCACCTCTCGCCATCTCCAGCGCGAGGGCCACGGCTCCCTTTGGCAGGGTTGGCTGAGTTAGAAAACGACAACGCCTGCCCGATGTCCAGGGCGCCTAGCCCTCCTTCAGTCTTCTCTCGGAAGAGGAATAAACACGAGGATCCGCCCTTCGCCCCCCTGCCAAGAACAGGCACAGGTTCCCGGCTTCCATCCTTAGGGAACCGGGATGTAATGCAGCAGAGACCAGCTAGCAAACGCACGCACAACCCAGTGGCTGCTCAAGCCGAGGTCCAGGTCGGACACCCGGCTCAAGTGTTCCCCCAACGCCCTGGCCTCGTGGCCCTCTTCTCAGCTCCCCTTGGGCCTCTCTGGTCGCCTCTGCACCCTGGAACCACGTTCTCCGGCGCCGGTTCTGCCGGCTGCTAGCTCGCGGCCCCTTTAAGCGCGTCCAGGTGGTGCTGCAATCGCCGCTCAGAGGACGGATCCTTTCCGGGAGGTGGAGCCTGCGTGTGTTGCAGCAGCCAATGGTGGCGCGGCATTTTCCGCGGGAGATCTGAATTTCGCGGCACGCAGTTTGGCGCTAAAAAAAGAAGAAGGAAAAAAAAAAAAAAAACAGGCCGAGAAAGGTTCGGAAACCGGAGAGCCAGCCGAGCGCCACCGGGGCCATCGGGGCCCCCTCCCCCGCCTGCGCGCACCCGGCCAGCGCCCGGAGACCCCTGCTCCTCGCCGGCCTTTGGGGCCGCCCCGCGTCGCGGCCGCCCCTCGGGGCGGGCCAGCCCCTGGCAGTGCCCCCGCCGTCCCCCAGCGGGCTCGGCCGCGGGCCAGGAGGGGAGGGTCCGGCCTTGCCCCGCCGGCGTCCATTGGCGGCTTCCCCCGTCTCCGTGCGGCATGCCGCACGCCGGCTGAGCCGGAGCCCGCAGGTGTCGGCGGGTGCGCCCCGCCTGCTTGGGGAGGGGGTCTCGCACTCGCCATGCTGCGCGGGCCTGGTGCCCCGGCTCCGGACGCTGGGCAGCCCCCAAACGGGGTGTCAGCGATGAGCCCCACCGAGCTGTGGCCGCCCGGGCTCAGCAGCCCCCAGCTCTGCCCGGCCACCACCGCCTACTACACCGCGCTGTACCCGCAGACGGTGCCTCCGGCTGCGGCTCCCGGCACCTGCCTGGACGCCACCCCGCATGGACCCGAGGGCCAGCCTGTTCACTGCGTGCTCACGGGCCGCCTGCCGGTAATGCTGTCTCCCTCTGTGCTTTGGGGCGGTGTAGGAAAGGAAAGAGGGGGTGCTAAAATCCTGTTCGAATTGTGGGGAGGGGGTGGAGATGGATTTTCAGTGTCCAGAACAATCCATTTCCTACAGTGTCTCAGTGGAAGACCCATTCATTTTCAGGCTTTGGGTAAAAGACAATCGTGTTCCCTATAGTGTGGTAATGTGAGCTTGGACTGGGCGTCTGGAACCCAACCCGTGACCCTGGGTGCACCGGGTGACCTTGGGGACATCCATAAGACACCCTAAGTAGCCCCCGTGTGTTATCAGAGCCAGACACACACTGGTTGCTTTCTAACTTCCCACCCAGCACATCCATTCATTCTTTCATTCTTTCATTGTTGGGCCCCCAAACCAGAACCAGGCACCTGCAATGGTCCTGGCCCAGGCTTGGCCCTGGGGACACCCTGGGGACTTTAGCAAAGGGGAATGGGTCCAGTCTGACTTGGACAGACTCCAACCAGCCGATCCAGCCAACACCTTCCCCAGTCTCCACCCCAGTCCTCGCCCCAGCCCAGCCTTCTAGCCATGGCTTGCCCCTGTGGGAACACCCTCAGGCGCCTGTGCAGATTGGCTGCGCACTTCACCCCTCGGGCCTGCTGCCAGGAAGGTCCCACTGTGGCACCAGGCTGCCAGCCCACCTCCTTCCTCCAGGGAGGGCTTGTTTTGTGGGAGCGGAATGCCTAGAGCCCAAGTGAAACGCATCCACAGAAAACAATGTGTGCAGATTTCAGAGGGTTTTGGTTTTTTTTTTTTTTTACACCAAAATAACTTCATATATTTCTGGTTTGCCTTGAACACCTTGAGGTACCCTCATAGGTGGCATTAGTAGGTTACAGGGGGAAATGGGCTCAGAGAGGGGGTTGGGACTTGCTCCCCGTGACCCGCGGAGACAGGCTGGAACCAGCTGACCCAGGTCCCTCCTCTCGGCAGCTGTGAATTGCCCCCAGTCCTGCCTGATGTCCCCCAGGCAGAGGGCTGGTGGTTGCCGCCCCTCCTCTGGCCAGCTGCTTCTACACAGACTTGCAGTGACAGCTGTGCTTCCGAACAGCTCTGAGCACTCCCAGCGGAGCCCGGCTGCATCTGCCTGGGCCCCCCTCCCCGAGGGGCACGGAGATCTCAGCAAGAATAGCCCTCTGACAGCACGCTGCTCGTGTGCCAGGCACTGCTTGGCACCCCTCGTGTTCGTTATCTTGGTCAAGATGCTGAGGATGAGGTTCCAAGTGAGCAAAGGAGAGACATCATTTGCTCAAGGGCACTCACGGAGAAGAGGGTGAGTCCCCTTGCCCCAGACCACCCTGATGGCTTGCAAGGCCTGGAGTCCCCCTCTCCTGTGGGTTCCCAGATGCCCGGGGCCTCTCAGCCCTCTGCTTACTCATTTCAAAAGGGTGTGACCTGGCACAGCTCTAGACCCAACCCTGGGTGTGCCACTTGCTCTGTGGCCAGGCTGCAAAGTGCAGAGGGAGCTGCTGTTTAAAGGGGCCTTGGGCATTGAACAGGGATGGTGGCCAAGTTCAATAGCAAATGGGAAGCCAGGATCCAGGTGTCCTTGGTCCCCATCTACAGCTCTTCCCAGCAGCCTCTGCTAAGGGCTCTGGGGACCCTGTAGTTGGGGCCTGACTGTGACCAGCGCTGGCATTAGTCTGTCCCCAGCCTGCAGGAACCTTGGAGGTGCTGGGCTTTGGGGTCTTGCCTTGTCCTTTCAGTTGGCATTTTCCCCTTGAAAGGAAGCACAATGCTCTAAGACTGGAAATGCTGAGTCTCAGGCTTCCGTTAGCCTGGGGAAGGGCCGGGGTCCCCAAGTGGGGCTCACCTCCATGCCTTTTTCCTGGCCTCTCCCTGTCCACTTAGGGTGACCTTGGGCAAACCTCTTCCCTCTCCCCCCAGTGCTGGTTTCTTCTGGTTGCTGGCCCATAAAGAGGGCCATGCCTAGGAGGGTCTCTTCCTGTTAGGGGTTGTCAGTGGTAAGGGTCTTGGATCCAACCAGGTCTATAGGATCTAGCCTATGGGGTCTCCTAGGAGGGTCCAGGTGAAGGCCACACTGGCCTCCTCAGGTGTGGCCACAGGCCTTTTCTGAGCAATCACCCTCTCGTTTTAGCTTTACCCTTGAACTTGGCAGCTCCGTGCACAAGCGCTGGTCCCAGGCATGGTGCTGTGCTGCACTGTCCTGGTGATGCCCATTTTACAGGGGATCCAAGAGACCAGTGTTTCTTCCCAGCTCCCCTAGCCAAGAAGGGACACGCCTTCCTGTATGTATGTGTGTGTCATGTCTGTACGAGTGTGCATGTATTTGTCCATGTTTGCATATATAGTATATGTTTGTCTCTATGTGTTTGTGTATGTGTCCATGTGTGTAATGGGAGTGTCCAGGCAGAGCCAGGCCCTAGCCTAATCCCAGCAAGGCCTGGGGGAACATGTGTGGGCTGGGCCTTGGAGTTAGACCCAGCCCAGACTCCAGCTGTGCCGTTTTTGTGACCCTGCTTGGGGGCTAGGAGCAGTGTGCAATGGGCCCGCCTGGGGATTCTGTCCCAGGTCCCCCTCCCTGCTCTGTAGGTGGAGGTTCCTCAGGGTGGGTGTATGGAGCAGGCTGGGGACACTGGGCTGCACCACATCTGTATCGAGTAGGACCCAGCCTGACCCTCTTCTTCCTGCCCTTGGCGTTCCTTCTGAGGGCTGGGTGAAGGATCCGGGGTCCTTGGAAAGGCCTGATGGGGCTGAGCTTGGACCTTCCCAAGCCTCAACGAGTTAAGCTACAAAATGTGCCGGGAAGGTTCGGGCGGGTCTGGGGGTCCGGCTTGTGGACATTGTCATGTGTGGCCGAGCCTTTTTCTAGAGACAGGCTGGGGTTGGATCTAGGCTGTAGGATTTGCAGCAGCTGGCAGGGTAGATAAAGAACATGCATGAGAGACTTCCAGAACAAACAAGCAGGGCTGGTGTTTGGGTGGAGTCCAGGGAGGGGTAGCAGACAGCAGGTTCCTCAAACCAAGGCCATCAATCCAGAGAGACTTCTCGGAGGAGGCAGGCTTGCGGGGGGGAGGGGAGCTGACTGCAGGAAGAGCTACCACCACTGCCTACACCTGTCAGCCCAGCTGTGCTTGGCGGTTAGACGTCTCAGTCCAGCTGTGCATGACCTCACCAGCAAGTATTAAAAAAACAGGCTGCTGTGTCCAAGCCAAGCTGGGGTGTGTGTGCTGGGGAAGGGGAGGGACCAGCAGCCAGGGGAGGGGGAGTGGACTCCGGGGGTCCCAGAGGGCAGGCCAAGGACGAGGAGGCTGAGATTGGACTTTTAGGAAGGGACCCTGCATTTCCTGAGCACCCCCAGGTGCTGATTCCTCCTGAATCTTCAGTTTTGCCTCGGAGGGAAGGGGATTGGGCACCCCATTTTACAGAAGAGGAAGCTGAAGCTTCGCAGTGTCCGGCTGGTGGGTTAAGCCGGGCCCTCTGACCTGTGCCCCAGTGCCCCAGTGCCCCAGCCCTGCCCTGCCCTACCCTGCCCTGCCCAGCCCTGGAGGAGGGAGGCCCTTTCCGGACCAGTGCCGCTTAGGTCTCCTGGGGGAGCTGGGTGGTGCGGGGTGGGGAGCAGCAGATGGGTCTGTGGTTTGATTTCCCCAGCAGGTGTTTCCCAAGCTTGGCGGGAACGGGAAGGGGGAACAGTGGGGGGGCGGAGGGGGACGCCTCAGCTGCTTGTCCTTAAGACGGGAAGGATTCATTGTCTGACCCTTTTGGCAAAGAAAGAGTGGCAAATGGGGTCTATTCAGCAGGCAACCCCCCCCCCACCCCTCCAAGCTGGAGCCCAAACAGCCTTCTCAGTGTGGGTACCTCCCTGGGTGTGGCACTGTGCCAGGAAGTCCCCTGGGCCTGCCTGGGCGGGTGCCCAGCTCCACCCTGATAAGGGCCAGCTGTGGTGCTATGATGGGCACCCGGGCGGCTGGGCCAGCTGCTTCTGCAGTGGGGCCTTCCAGGCCTGGTGTGGTTTAGGCCCCACCCATGGTTTCCTCCTGTTTTCATCCCCTGGGCAGGGAAGGGACAAAGGTAGAGATGGGTGCTGTTATTAAGGAACCCTGGACCCAAGCACATAGGCCGTTGATTTGCTTCCTGTCCCCCCTTCCAGGATCACAGGTGTCTTCACCAGGCCTGGTGGTAAACTGAGGCACAGAAGGTGGTTCACGCTGGCCTCAGGGAAAGGCTAAAGGAGCAATGCTTCTCACAGTTGGCTTCTCTCTCTACCCCCTCTCCTCAAGGCCAAGAGAAAGCTGGACTTGGAAGGCCTTGGGAGGCCTGCAGTCCCTGAGTTCCGAATGCCCAAGGGGAAGAACATCCGAGTGGAGGGGCTGCCCAGCCCCAAGAGTAAGCGGGGCTGATGTGGGGTGGGGCAGGGCGGGCCTTGGCTCACTGTTTCCGGTTGACAAAGGTTTCCTGTGTATTCTCTCGTCGGAACCTGCCGAGCCTCATGCTGATGAGGCAACTCAGAGAGCTTGTGTGACTTCCACACAGCCAGTAAGTGGAAGTGGAAGTGGAGCTGGACGTGTCACCACTGCACGCTGTGATCCAAGCATGATGACCATCTTAAGTCAGGAGCCTACTATTACTTCTTAATTTTCATATTTTTTATTTTTTAATTTTCACATTTAGGTCAGTCTGAGGTGGTTTTTTGCTTTTTTTTTTTGTAAGATTTATTTCATTTGTTTAAAAGGCAGAGTTGCAGAGAGAGAGATTCTGCATCTGTTGGTTCATTCCTTCAAATGGCTACAATGGGCAGACCTAGACCTGCGCGAAGCCAGAATCCAGGAGTCTCTTCTGGGTCACCCACATGGGTGCAGGGGCCCAAGTACTTCCCTGGCCACAAGCAGGGAGCTGAATTGGACCAGCTGGGACTCAAACTGACACCCATGTAGGATGGCAGTGCTGCAGACAAAGAATTCTAAGGCTCTCACCAGCACGACTGGTGAGCAAGCGTGCTGATCCGTTAGTAATATCTGCCATGGGACAGACCTGACATGATGCTGCCTACCAAGCACATGCCATCTACAAGGCTACTTCAAAAGCTTTATGGAGGGAGGGCTGGCTTGTGGTGCAGTGGGCTAGGTTGTTACCTATGAAAGCAGCATTCCACATAAATGCTAGTTCAAGACTCAGCTGCCCCAGTTTGAACCCAGCTCCCTGATAATGCACGAGGCAGAGCAGCAGAAGATGGACCAAGTGTTTGGGTCCACGTTACTGTCCTAGCCTGGCCCAGCTCCAGCCATTGTGGCCATCTGGGGAGTGAATCAGCAGACAGATGGTCTCGCTGTCTCTTCCTCTTTCTGTGAACTCCACCTTTCAAATAAATAAATCATTAAAAAAGAGAAATTCACTGAGGGAAGGTGTTGTGGTACGGTGGGTTAAGCTACCACTTCGGATGATGCCCACATCCTAAATCAGAAGGTCAGTTTGAGCCTTATCTACTCTACGTCCCATTCAGCCTCCTGCTAATGGGCCTAGGAGGCAGCAGACGGTGGTTCAAGTGCTTGGGCCCCCTGCCACGACACAGAAGATTAGTCAGACTTCTGGAGTTTTAGTTTTTACCTGGCCGAGCCCTGGCTGGTGAGGGTAATGGGAGAGTGAAGATCTAGCTTCCTCTGCCACTCAGACACAGACACACAGAGAAGGAGATCTTCCATATGCTGGTTCACTCCCTGAGTGGCCACCATGGCCAGGGCTGGGCCAGGCCGATGCCAGGCTCTTCATCTGTGTCTCCTGGTACCTTCGCAGGGAGCTAGATTAGAAGTGGAGCAGCTGAAACTTGAACAAGTGTCCCTATGGGAAATTGGCAATATGTATAGTGATTTAACCTGTTGTGCCACAGCATCAACCCAAAACTTTAAAAAAAAAAAAAGATTTATTTATTTATTTCACAAATTAGAGTTACAGAGAAAGAGAGAGAGACCTTCCACCCACTGGTTCACTCCCCAGATAGTTGCAACAGCCAATGCTGGGTCAGGGTGAAGCCTAGAGCTTCTCCGTGGGTCTCCCACTGTGGGTGGCAGTTGCCCAAGTACTTGGTCTATTTTCTGCTGCCTTCTTAGATGCATTAGCAGGGAGTTGGTTGGAAATGGAGCAACTGGACACAAATCAGCAGTCATTTGGGAAGCCAACAACTCAGGCTGCACTTTGACCCACTACACTACGATATCGGCTCCAACTTTTTAATGTTTGTAGAAAATACAGTTAAGCCACATTTTTATTTTGTTGCAAAAGAATTTGAAACTCACGCATAGCTTTTTTGTTGCATGTATGTCCCCAAACTTGTAGAAGAAGCCCCTTTGTATGTGTCGTGAGGTTTTGAGCCCTCTAAGGAATCTCACACTTTGTAAAAGTCAGGCTCCTGAACCCGTATGGGCCCGTTTGGCCGCAGGCCTGCTGTGTGACTTGCAAGGCATTTGATTGCAGGAGGCCCCTGTGGTTTTGATGGTGTGTCTGAGAAGTGGTTTTGCAACATCACCCTCATCAAGAGCAGGGCTTTTTTTTTTTTGTAAACCTGCCTGATTCTAGGCCTGGTTCCTCTCAGATAATCATCAGGCTACTGTGGGAAAAAAAGCAAACGGGCATCTGATCCTCTCCTCACCTCCCTACCCTGATCCCCAATTCCTGACCTAACTGGCAAGGTCCAGGTAGGGCTGAAAAGGCATAATCTGGATTCCAGCCAAACTGCCCAGATTGGAATCCCAGCATGGCCAGCTTCCAGCAGAGCGAGTTGAGCACTTTGCAGAGCCTGCCCGCATCCCATGTCCTCATCTGTGGGGTGGGGGTGGGTGGCTGTGCGCCAGCCACGGGGCAGGATGTAAGGACTGACTGCTAGAGTGGAGACAGCCCTCACCGGTCAGGCCGGCGACTGCACTGTTACAGGGGTCACTGTGGCTGCCCCAGGCAAGTCACTCTGTCCTTAGGTGACAGTTGTGCAGTGGAGACAGTGGCCTGGAACTCCTCCCTGCCTCACATGCCCTGTTCATAGGGGAACAGGTGATGAAGGATGGCAACAGGTGTGCTCAAGCAAGCCCAGTGAGGAGGAGCTTCCCCAGGCTGGCTGACCCTCCCTGATGTACCTGGGCCCCTGTCTTTCTCAGCCCCCAAGTCCCCCGGGGAGAAGACGCGATATGACACATCTCTGGGGCTGCTCACCAAGAAGTTCATTTACCTCCTGAGTGAATCTAACGATGGAGTCCTGGACCTGAACTGGGCGGCCGAGGCGCTGGATGTGCAGAAGCGCCGCATCTACGATATCACCAATGTGCTAGAGGGCATCCAGCTCATCCGCAAGAAGTCCAAGAACAACATCCAGTGGGTGTGAGTGCTCCAGCAGCCAATGACATCTTCCAGAGGGGGCTTGGCGGGCGGAGCCAGGGGCCAGAGCCAATGGCATCTTCCAGAGGGGGCTTGGTGGGCGGAGCCAGGGGCCAGAGCCAATGGCATCTTCCAGAGGGGGCTTGGTGGGCGGAGCCAGGGGCCAGAGCCAATGGCATCTTCCAGGGGGGCTTGGTGGGCAGGGCCAGGGGCCAGAACCAGTTGGGGGTGGGTGTGTCTGGGTGAACTGAGTACCAGCCGGTGGGCACAGGAGCTATTTGAGAAGTGGGTAAAAGAGCAGGTGTGTAGCCTGTAGTAGTAGGAGGTGGGAAACTGGATGCAGGATGACTTCTAGGATGAGGGAGGATTACAAGGACCCCAGGTCCTTCCTTTTTTTTGTTGTTGTTGTTTATTTTTATTGGGAAGTCAGATTTACAGAGAAAAGGAGAGACAAAAAGATCTTCCATCTGCTGGTTTACTCCCCAAGTGACCACCAACGGGCAGAACTGAGCTGATCCAAAGCCAGGAGCCAGGAGCTTCTTCTGGGTCTCCCGTGTGGGTGCAGGTCCCAAGGCTTTAGGCCATCCTCGACTGCTTTCCCAGGCCACAAGCAGGGAGCTGGATGGGAAGTGGAGCAGCTAGGATACGAACTGGTGCCCTATAGAGTCTCGGCACATGTAAGGCGAGTACTTTTCCCACTAGGCTACCGCAGCAGGCCCAGGTCCTTCCTCTTGGTTCGCATCACCTAGCTTAAGGAAGTCCCTGAGAGCCGAGGACTCACTCAGCCTCCTCCGGATCTCCTCTCCCCAGGTTCCCTACAGGGCCCTGAGGGAACACGGGCAAGAGGGTCAGGACTGCAGTCACTTTAGTATTCTGCCGTTTGTGTGGGTATTGGGCATGGACAGAGTTGAGAGCCTCCCTGGAAGTGGGGTTCAGTTCAGACCTTGACTTGTTTCTTGTCCCTAGCACAGCCCACAACTCTCGTCTTCCAATCCCTGGCTGCTCCCTGAGGGTTAGGTGCTGCCACTGATGTGCAGGAACCAGGGGTGAATGGCCTTGACCTGGAGCTTCACCCTGCCCTCCTGTGCAGGCATGGAGGGGGCGGTCTCTGCATGCAGACTGACACTGAGGGGGCCGCTCTGTTTCCAGAGGCAGGGCGCTATCTGAAGTCCCCAGCCGGCCCGGGCAACAGCAGCAGCTGCAACAGGAGTTGGAGGAGCTGACGAGCACGGAGCAGGCGCTGGACCAGCTCATCCAAAGCTGTTCTCAGCACCTGAAGGAGCTGACAGAGGACAAGGCCAACAAGAGATATCCTCTCTGTGGGTTCGGGGTGGGGGTGTCTGGGAGCAGCTGGGCCTGTTGGGGCTTTGTAACCACGCCCCGTGCTGAGGGCTCTTCCTCCCTCTCAGGGTCTCCCCTCCAGCCTGTCAGGTTACCTTCTCATGATCAGACACGAGGCAGTGTCTTTAAATCTGGAAAATGGAGAACAAAGAAGAATCCGTGAGAGCTGCCACCCCAACACAACATCATTCCCTAACTAGACTTGGGGAGCCTGCTGCACGGGACATTTTTGTTCTGCTTTTCTCAGTATGTCACATTTCCACCTGCAGACGCCCATAGTTAATCACTGTTTACCCACATGAAAGCAACTTCACATGACTCAACTGCATCTTTCTTTGAGCCCCATCTGTAAAATGATGTCTGATGTCAGACTACAGTCTGTTGGTTGATTAGCCCCAGAGTGGGTCGTTTAATGCCGTTGTAGATTTCTGCTTTTATGAGTAACATCGAGCTGAGGATCTTTTATTTTGGATCTGGTCCGCTTGTCGCTCAGTTCGCTAAGTCAGAGTCCTAGGGTGGAAATGATGAGGTTGAAAAGCAAGGGCTGTGCGCTGGATCCTCCACACATTTTTCCAAGTACTTTCACATCTCAATGGTTGTTTTTTTTGGATCTAACTTGGTATTTTTGGAAGATTGTTAGGCATCATGAGAATTACAAGTAAAATATTTTCCTGTCTTCTTGGTTTCATGATCTTTTTAAGAGGACACCGTTATGTAAAAAAACACCAATAGAAGCCAATATTTTAAAAATGACATATATCCCGCTCTCTAGTGCAATCCAAAGGGCCTCATGCTAGCCAAAGAAGACGTTATGTGTTTTAGTTATTCCTAGGCGGCTAAAGGAGAAAGTGTTGGTCTCGGGCTTGGGAGGAATCTGACAGGCTAGGGCAAGGGGGCTCTGCATTTTGACCAAGGACCACTTTTCTTGACTCCTGTCCCTACACTGGCCTATGTGACATACCAGGACATCCGTGCTGTGGACAACTTTAAGGAGCAGACGGTGATCGCTGTCAAGGCGCCTCCACTGACAAGGCTGGAAGTGCCTGAGAAGGTTGAGGTGAGAGCAGGAGCGTGACCCAGGGAGGATCCTGGGCCCCTCTGTGCGCTCTGTCCATGGCGTGTCCATGCTGGTGTCTGCAGCAGTAGTGGTGATGTCCAAGATGGGGCAGACAGCAGAAGCTGGAACGGAGTGGAGACGGAGACTTGGCCTAGCATGCCTCTGTCGCTGGTGCTTCCGTCAGCCCGGGGACCCTGTAGGCCTGCTCATGTGGCCCCACTGGTGCCTCTGTCAGCACGGGGACCCTGCAGGCGTGCTCGTGTGACCCCACTGGTGCCTCTGTCAGCATGGGGACCCCGCAGGTGTGCTCGTGTGGCCCCACTCAGGGCATCCTTCACACTCACAAGATCCTTTCATGCTGACCATGCTTTCCAAGGTTACAGACCAAAATCCCTGACATGCCCCAAGAGGATGGTACCCGCTAGCCTTCCCAGCCTCCTCTACCATACCACCCTCAGCTATTTTTGCTTTGGCTGCAGATGCTGCAGCATACCAAACTCATCCCCAGGGCAAGATCTTCACATATGCTGTTCCCTCCAGCTGAAGTGCACTTTCTGTCCTCCCTCCCCCTGGTTTACTGCCATGCATCCTCCCTGTCTCACCTGAATACCATTTCCTCCTGGAAGCCTTCCCTGATCACTCCCAGGCTCATAACCCCCAGTTTCCTATCATGCTTGACTTACAGAATATTTTTGGCCCTCTTTTGGCTTCACCCATAAGGCTGCAAGCTTCCTAAGAGAATGTTCTAGTCTCTTTGTATTCCCAAACCGAGGGCTAGGCATATAGAAAGGGATCCAGAAAGAGTTTTTCCATGGAAGAGTAACATTGCAGAGATCCTGAAGGTCATGCCACTCCCTTGGAGAGGTTGACCCAGTGGAAGAGCGAGGTCAGTCAGCAGTGGTGCTGTTGTCTGTAGATTGAATTTGGACTTGGAGAGAGCAGGAGGGAGGGACGGTTTATCTCAGTCTTGGAAAATGCATAGATTTTGTCCAAAGGACACCCTTGGGAGCAAAGGCGTGGAAGCCAAACACATGTCACAGGGGTCTGTGGGTAGCCAGCTGTGGCGGCATAGAGGGGAAGGACAGGAGTGGGAAGGCTGAGCGTTGGGACTGTTGGTCACAAGGAACAGAAAGTCAAGTCCAGTTGGTTTAAGCTGTTGGGGGGTCAGGGACGGACTTGGAGATTGCTGGTGAAGCCAGATGCAAGGCTCAGCCCGGACCTCAGGTCAGCCTCATGTGTGTCTCTCACCTGCTCTTCTCGGTGCGGACTCCATTTCCGGTGTGTTCCTCTCACAGGGTCTTGTGTGACACAAACTGGCTGTCCCAATGAGATGGCAGCTTGTTTGCTCAGGTCCAAGGCCAGCAGCAGAAGTGACAAGTGTTCCCACCAGCCCAGCACAGGGGTTGAGCTTGTGCATGGTGACTCCTGGGTGTGTGTCCAGCTGCTCAGAGCAAAGCGGTGGCTTCTTTTTGTCCTGCAGGACAATCTGCAGATACGTCTCAAGAGCATCCAGGGGCCCATCGAAGTGTACCTGTGCCCGGAGGAGGTTCAGGAACCAGACAGTCCTGTCAAGGAACTTCTCCTTTCCAGCTCTTCCCTCAGCCCCAGCCGTAGCCCCAACTCCACCCAGCCCAGCAGTACCACCAGCCCTGGCATTGCAGAACCTGCAGCACCCTCAGGTAAGGACCTCAGGGCAGAGGGACAGCAGGTGAGAGCTGCAGTGTCCTCTCTGATGTCCACGCTCCTTGGGTGCCTACACCTGCTGAGCTGCTGGGAATTCGGCCTTGCTCCCCCAACTTGCACTTCAGGGCATCGTGAAGCTTGGTGCATACAGCCCTGGTCTTACTGGAGGGCTGTGCTTCAGGCCAAGGGGGCATGTATTTAGCTCATCTCTGCCCTTCTCCTCACAGTGGTGTGACCTTGGGCAAACACTTTAGCCTTGCTTTGCCTCAGTTATCTCATCTTTAAACTGGGTGCTGTAATTCATAGCATCTGAGTCACAGGTCATGCTACAAACAGAACTCCAGGCAGTTCTGTGTGTTAGCTTTTGTGGATTTGTCAGAGAGGTACAGAGTGACAGGGGTTTTTATTCTTTGGTTCCCGCTCCCCAGGAACCAGGGCTGTGTCAGACCAAAGCAGGGTATCTGGAATTCATTGGAGGTCTTTCCCGTGGGTGGCAGCAATCCAACTCCTTGACTCATCACCTACTGTTCCAAGGAACTGCGAGAGCAGGAAGCTAGAGTTAGGAGCCATCCTGGGACTCGAACCCAGACACTCGATGCAGCTGTCCCACGCAGTGGCACCACTGCAAAGCAAATGCCCTCCGCTTCACAGCACTTCGGGAAGCCGATTTTACCATTCCTGGGTTAGACAGCTGATCGGCCTTAGCCAGGGCCTCCCACCTGGAGGCAAGCTCGAGGTACACACACCTTACCGGTGCTCTCCCCATGGGCACAAAGCAACCAAGGCAGGAAGATGGTGCAGGGGAGAGCTGGCTGCACCTGGCTGGCAGTTGCCGGGGAGCAGAGAGGAGGAGAATCCCTGAGAGGCTCCTGGGAAAGAGGCGAGGGGGGGCCCTCCCCTAGCATGGTGCTCACCACCCACCGGGCAGCACAGGGCACATTGGGTACAAAGCCTGGGATTCCTGCAGGCATGTGGACCTGTGTTAAGGGGTGGAATTCCCTTAAGGCAGTGCTAGAACTGGTCGCTGGGGAGTGGCCCGCCCCTCACCACCTCCTACCAGGGTTAGGGTCCTACAGAGCACACGGGGTGAGGGTTCCTACAAAGCACACATTGGGTTCCTGTTCTCTCTCTTGGGTCAACTCTTGCTTATGGGCCTGGTTTTAGATGGCCTGAGAATGAAGAACACTTTTGTTTGTTTGTTTGTTTTTAAAGATTTATTTATTTTCATTTGAAAGGCAGATTTACAGAGAGAGGAAAAAGAGTAAGATCTTTCATCCTCTGATTCACTCCCCAAGTGGCTATGACAGCTGGAGCTGGGCTGGTTCAAAGCCTGGCGCTTCCATGTGGTCTCCCATTTGGGTGCAGGGGTCCAAGGATTTAAGTCACCTTCCACTGCTTTCCCAGATACATTAGCAGGGAACTGGATCAGAAATGGAGTAGCTGGGACTAGAACTGGAACCCATACCAACACCACAGGTGGAGGCTTAACCTACTATACTGAGGCACTTGTCCCAACTGAAAACACTGTTTACATCTTAATGTTGTAGAGGGAAAACCTCTACCAACTGTGACAGACACCAGAGGGGGCCCGCAAAGCCCCTCAGGTACCATCTGGACCTTCACAGAGGTTAACTGTGACCCTGACCAAATTCAGTTCTTCATTCAATACAAAGGACGTGGGGCCCAGAGAGGGCAGATGGCAAGAGGATGGCAGAGCTTGGACAGGAGCTCTCAGCTGCCCTCCAGTGACCTCCCTGGGCCTGTTTGCCTTGTCCTGGGAACAGGGTTCTCCCTTTGCCAGCCATCTGTCCCTGCAGGCACCGCCCTAGTGCTATCTCACACTCCAGGCGCTGCCTCACCCTCCCATCCCTCATCCCGCCCCTCCTTTTCTCTCAGTTGTCCACACACACCTCGCTCCCCCACATCAGGGCTGCCTCTCATCTGAGGTCCTGTGAGCCCTCCAGTGAAGGTGGCAGACCCTGCAGCGAGAGCCAAGGTGAGGGTCTCACCTGAGTTTGACTCTGCAGGAACAGAGACCCTGAGAGCAGTAGAGGCTTACACGGCGTTTGGTGGAGGGCCAGCCTGCAAGCCAGCCCTCTGGCCATAGCATGGTCCATCCTCCTGCTAAGTGGCATCACCGTATTGTCCCTGGTGAAGGGCTGAGCAGGCATTTTCCTGGAGGTTAGTGAATATACTTGCATACACACACACGCACACACACACACACACACACACACTCTTACTCATGTCCCATGTTCTGACCTAAAGCAGAGTGAGTCATTCTTGGAGCACCGGAGGCCAGGCCTAAAGAGGAAGCTGCTGCAGTGTTGGGACCCAGGTCCTGGCTCTGGCATCACCAGTGCAGTTGCTAACTCTTGGCTGCCTTAGTTTCCCTCATCTGTATCCAAAGGGCCACTTCGCTCCAGGCCCTGACATCCTGAGATGAACATCAGTTGAGCGGGAAGTGTCTGCGGGGGAGCTGGGAGATCTGGTGCCACTCCAGCTCCTCTCAATCCCTGGTGATGGCAGCTCTGGGGCTCACGCCTCCTTGAGCCACTGGGCCTGGCCTCAGTGTCCTCACCTCTAAGATGGGGACATGGATTGAGTCCCTTGTAAAGACTAAGTGTGTTACAGGGGATGCTTCACGGATGTGTTTCCTTAGTATTACTTTTTTTTCTTTTTAAACACAAAGTCAAGGTGACTTCCGCACCTTTTGTGCTGGACCAGGGATGGGTTTGGAAACCCAGAAATGCTCGAGCCATTCCAAGCACAAGCTGTGGCAGGTGCTCCAAAGGGCGGCTCCCCCATGCCTGTGGGCGAGGCAGGGAGAGCAAGGTCCCACCCGCACCGGACAGTCCCATGGTACCCTCACAGCCACTGCTGCCAGCAAGGGTGGTTCATGCTTCACTTTCCAGCAACACAGAGGCTCCAACTTGCATGGCTGGCAAGAGGCCAGGTTGGATCCCAGCACCTCTCCTGCTGGCTCCCACGCCAAGCCTCCTCTCTAATCTCAGCAACATGCTGAACAAACCTGAGATTGGCAGCAGCGCAAATGGAGTTGGCTTCTCCAGACTTCAGGCTCCTTGTCTGTAAGCAGAGTGGTGGCACTGCTTCTTCTACCAGGGCCTCCTGGGGGTCGGGAGGGTGGAATGGGGTTCACAGCAACAGGAAGACTGGGATCTTCCCTCTGCTTGTTCACTCTCCCAACCGGGGCTGACTCCAGGCTGAAGCCTGGAACTCTGTCCCAGTCTCCTCTGTAGGTGGCAGGGGTCCAAGCATTTGAGCCACTGTCTGATGCTTCCAAGAGCATTAGAGGGGAGCTGCAATCCAAAGTGGAGCAGCCAGGACCTGAATTGACAATATGGGATATGGTTGCGGCAAGCAGCTTAGCCCTCTGTGCCATAGCCTGCCTTAATTTTAGTATTAACAAGGGCAATGTGCAGACTCTGTGGGATTTCTACACACCATCCCCCCCCCCCCCCCGCGTTCTATTTATGCATTAGAGAGAGAGAGAGAGAGAGAGAGAGAGAGAGAGAGAGAGAGCTGGATGGAGAGCTTCCGACCACTGGTTTACTTTTCAAATGCCTGTGACAGCTAGGGCTAGGCTAGGCTGAAACCAAGAATCAGAAACTCGGTCTGGGTCTCCCCCATGGGGAGCAAGGGAGGGGGGACCCGGCTACCTGTTGCTTCCCAGGGATCGTGGCTGATGGCAGAGTCGGGATTTGACCTCAGGCTCTAGGGAGGGGTGCACCTGCCCCAGGCAGTGTCCTGGGGAGCTGCCCAGCCCTGAGGAGCTGTTCTCTGCTTACACTAGTCACTGGCTTCTCAGCAGCCCCTGGAGGTACAGAGAAGGAGTGTGCCTGGAAGCATAAAGGCACTGGCCACACCAATGGCAGCCAGGAGGCGGTTCTCAGGCCAACTAGCTCCTGGCCTTTGTCTTTTCAAAGCACCGCTTGCTTGAAGTTCAAAGAATGGCTCCAACAGTGGGACTCTGCCTTCAAGCTATGTTTCCAGTGCCCCAATCTAGTTTCCTGTTTAGGAAATCTGCTGCCCCATACCTCTAGGTGGAAGTGACCTTGATGGGGGAGGCTGAGGGCTGGGTCGGGTGGTAGGGAGGTAGGTAGGGGCTGGATTACGCAGGTCCTTCTCAACCAATGCACAGCAGGCAATGAGAGCACAGCCTGGACAGGGCAAGGGTGAAAGCCGAGTGGCCAGGTGACAGGGGGAGGGGCCAGGGCCAGGCTGGGAGCAGTGGGACCTCAGACAAATGGCAGCCTGGAGAACGCATTGGATTGTGGATGCCAGACTTTTTTCTGGAATTCTGGATGATTCTTTGGCTTCTTGGCTTGGGCACCTGAGTGAGTGATGGTTCACGGACTACGGTGCGGACAGATGAGGGGAAGCATGGGGTTCAGGAAGGCCTGGAGTTTGGTTGTGGCATGCTCAGGTGTGCTGTACTTTAGCCAGGAGGAGTATATAGGACCAATCCCATCGGAGTCAGAGCGCAGAGGCGATCCACTTGGGAGCAGTGGGTCCAGCAGAGGGCACGAAGCCAAGGTTGAATGCACTCACCTGCGCAGGTGCACAGCTAGAGGGGAGGAGACTGAAGATGGAGCCCAGGGCCTCTGGGGTCTAGAAGCTGAGAAGAGGAGGGTCTGGCTAAGGGGACAACAGGCAGATGCTGTGTAGCCGAAGTCGAGCAAAGCAGGGTGGTCCAAGGACCAGGGTGTGTGGGACGGGGTCCGCTGAGTTGAAGCCTTGGAGCCCTTGTTCTGCGGCCTGGTGGGAGCAGACCCCAGTGTGGAGTGGGCTCAAGAGTGAATAGGAATGGGGAAGGAGAGTAACACAGGCAACACTTGAGCAAGTTTGCTATGAAGAGGAGGAGTGCATAGACCGGAAATTAGAAGGTCGTGAGATCAGTAAAGCTTTGTTTTCTGCTAGAGTAAAATACACATTTCACAAAATGTGCCTTCTGATCCTGGAAGTGTCCAGTTGGGTGGTCTGAAACACACTGCTGGTGTTTTGCTTCTCTAAAACTGAAACTTGACACCCATGAAAAAACTGCTGGGGCCAGTGTGGTGCTGTACTGGATTAAGCTACCACCTGCGGTACCAGCATCCTATATGAGTTCTGGGTTGAGTATGGTCTGCTCTACTTCTCATCCAACTCTCTGCTGATGTACCTGGGAAAGCATCAAAAGATAGCCCAAGTGCTTGGGCCCCTGCGCCCATGTGTGGGACCTAAATGGGGTTTCAGCCTCCTGGCTTTGGCCCTTGTGGTCATTTGGAGAGAGAACCAGTGGGTGGAAGACTTCTCTGTTCTCATAACTCTGCCTTTCACTTATTTATTTCTTTGTAACATTTATTCACCTGAAAGTACAGTTCCAAAGAGATAGATCTCCACCTGCTGGTTCATTCCTCTAGTGGCCATTCACAGCCAGCACTGGGCCAGACGGCAGCTAGTAGCTTCATCTGCATCTCCTGTGTGGGCACAAGGGCCTGAGTGCCTGGGTCGTCTCCTGCCGCCTTCCCAGGCACATGCATAGGGCACTGAATCGGAAGTAGGGCAGCCAGGACTCAAAGTGGTGCCCATATGGGCTAGCCTGCTATGACACAATGCAAACTCACTCTGCTTTTCTGATACATGAGTCAATCTTTTAAAAACACCAACTCTACGTGCCTGCTGCTCCAGACCCTGTCACCAGCACTCATAGGAGAGGTCTTCCAAATCGATTTACGCCATTGTGTATCTGAACCAATATGGCTTCTTTGAAGAAATGTCCACTCAAGTTCTTTGTTAATTTATGAATCGGACTTTTTCGCAGTTGAATTTCAGAAAGGCAGGTGATGTGAGAGTGTGTGTGCGTGTGTATGGAAACTGTCTAGCAGAGTCAGAGAGATTGACAGTGCAAGAAGAGGAAATGGTTTCAGAAGGTGAAGGGGTCCAGGAGCCAGGGGGCAAATCTTGAACAGGGTGCCCAACCCACTCAGAGGAGGTAGGGGAGAGGGCAAGGAGATGGGGGCGTGTCCCTGAACCCTGTAGTGAGGGTGGGATGCACAGTGAACCAGAGAACAGGTTGGCCATTCTGGCTACCGAGGGACCTGGGCACCAGGGCCAAGCATGACCAGTGTCTCTTTGTCCTCAGCGCCAGCACCAATTCCCCAGCAGGATGTGCCGCTGCCACCATCACCACCGCCACCACCACCACTGCCGGCCCTTGTCCCCTTGGAGGCCGCTGACAGCCTGTTGGAGCTGTCGCACCCACTGCTGCAGCAGACCGAGGACCAGTTCCTGGCCCCAGACCTCACCTGCAGCTCTCCGCTCATCAGCTTCTCCCCACCCATGGACCAGGATGACTACTTGTGGAGCCTGGATGGGGGTGAGGGCATCAGTGACCTCTTCGACACCTATGCCCTTGGGGATCTACTGATTAACTGAGGGGCCCACCCTGGTGGCCCACCCGTCTCTACCTCCTCACATCAGACTGACGGGCCCCCTCCCGCCCGCACGGGCACAGCCTCTTGGGAGGTGTGATGTGGCAGCTGGGGGGTGAAGTGGGCACAGGGGGTGGGATCTGTCCTTCCTGAGGGAGGCGTGGACTTCTGACCTCTGACCTCACGAGGGATGACAGGTGAAACCCCCACTGCCACCCTTGTATTTATTTCAGGTTGAGTTTGATTGTCATCCCTGGGTTTTAGCAGGGAGAGTGTTTAGGTTCTGGCAGCACCTGTCCTCAAACAGGCTCTTCCTGGAGCTCGAGCCACCTCGCTATTTCTCCCCCCACCCCCCGTGTTGGGGACCAGGATTCAGGACTGCAGCCCGGCTGCCAGGACACTGATGGCACTTAGACCTGGCGAACCTCATGAGTGCCAAGCCCCAGTCTGGGGTTTCAGGGACCACCCCCTGACAAGGCGCTGAGGTGCCTGTTGAAGTGGGAAGAGCCAGTTAAGGAGCCCCATTCCTATGGAGTTCCTCTCACCTGCTCCCTTCTCACTCCTTCCCACTCCCCTTTGAAAGCCCCCTCCAGAGACCTCTCCTCCCGATCTGCCTGGGCCAGTGGCCACTTTACACCGAGGACCTGGAGGAAGAGGCAGGGCCACCATGAAGCCAGCAGCTGCCAGGGAGGATCTGGGGCTTCCATGTGTGTGAGGGGGATGACTCCCCTTCCCCAGCCCACACCCAGACCCCCAAGAGCAGAGATGGCATGATGGTCTTCGCTCCTGTGGTCCCTGGAATGCCTGTTAGGTGATAGGGAGGGGTGTGCCCTGCAGACCAGGCTGTGGGAGGTAACAGGGAGGCAGGCTCTTGGCACCTTTTCGGGGCAAGGGGCCTCTGAAGGAAGTCCTGGTTGGTCCTTGTCCCCTGCCCCCACCTCCAGGCTGGTGGGACCACCCTGTCCCTGTGGTCCAACTGAGGGCAGCAGGGCGCTCAGGGCTGAGCCAAGGCTGTACCTTCTGGTGAGTGCCAGTCAGAGGTGGTGGTCCAGGAGGCCCACCACCCACCCTCAGGGATGCGGGATTCCCCCAGCACTCAGCTGGGCAGCACTTTTGTTGTGTGAAGTTTGTAGCATTAATATGGTTTCAATGAAGTGGGCACCACAGGGTAGCTCCTGAGTTGACTGACAGCCACTAAAGTGGCAGCCGATGCCCAGCTGCAGGTGGCGGGGGTGGGCAGTCTTGTTTGCCTTGTTAGTGGCTTCACCCCCTGGGTGCCCAAGTTTGCCTCCTCCCAGGAGGGTCTGCAGGTCTCAGCCGTCCCTGCTGTGCCAACAGGACTGATTGTCTCAGCTTTACCGCAGTGCCTCAACCTCTCCCGGCCCCTGCAGATCCAGCTTACCCAGGAGACAGGTGCAGCTTGCCATTTCATCTGGGGCCGTGGGACTGCAGGTGGCAGTACTGTCCAGTGGACAAAGTCCATCTCTGAGAACAGAGGTGTTAAAAGCTTCTCGCCTTGGGCTCTGGCTGGAACTTTTGCCTTCAACCAAATTAGAGGAGAGGGCTGTGGATCCCATTGGGAGAAGTTTAATGCCCAAGTGTGGTGAAGTTCAAGCTCATTGCCCATGTGCCTTGACCAGCCTCTGGGCTAAACACAGCAGCTGCCTCTACCCTCCTGGGCAGCAAGCACCCTGCCTGGCTGAGGGCCCGCATATCCTCAGCCACACTCGGGCTCAGTGTGGGAAATAAGTGGGGCCTCCTGGCCGGGCCACTGTTAGCCTCCCGGGTCACATGCGCACTATGACGGCTGTGTTTCGAGCAGGGGTTCCCTTTGTGTGTGTGGAGGGGGCGTGCCATGTAAACTGAACTGGGGCTGCAGGAAAGCCAGGTTCTTTCTGAAGAAAATGACTCCTGTTAGGAAATTTCTCAGCCCCATTGGCAGCCTCTGTGTCCTGAGGGGCCCCAGGGAAGCCAGTAGCATTAAATCTAAGATGGCGATCTGGCCTGCTCTGAGTGCCTCCACCAGCTGCTGGGGGCTCCCCAAGCAGAGCGCTGGGAGGAGGAGGGAGTAGAGCTTGGAATGGGAGAATGGACTTGACGTCACAGCCTAACCCCGGTGTGTGAAGCCTCAGTTCTGCAAGTATTTAGCTTAGTGAGAGCTTGCACATTCCAGCCTGTGTGGCTTAGCGCGTTTGTTTGGAAGCAGCTTTCTGGTCCTTGTTGTATCCTGAGGTCCCTTCTGGGACCCTATTTCCCACAAGCAACTTTGGGACCATGGCAGTCAGCCTGGTCAGCTTGCTGGCTGTTAGGTGGGAAGAGGTTGGAAGTGTTAGCACATTTGTTTTGGGTAAGTTGGGCCAAGGGAGCCAGGGTTCCGGGCCGGGCCTCCATACGGGTCATTTACATCCTGCCTGGCTTCACCCTGGATCCTGCCTTGCCAAGCCCTAAGAAGCCTTGTGTTGTGATTTAAAAAAAAAAAAAAAAAGCATTAAATGTTAACTCTGGGTGTCTTATACTTTCTGAAGTTCATGGCTGGCTGGGTCTGGGCTGCCTCAGAAGAAACAGGCGAGTGGCTACCCAGACTGAACTTGAAATTTGCTGATTTCCCCGCTTGGCTCTTGCCGTATCTGAGATCTCACCACAGAGACACGGAGCTGCGAGCCCCACCAAATGGACCCTGGGGTCTTCCTGGGCTGCTTCTCAGCCCTGCCCCCACTCCAACCATCTCCATTCCATGCACATTCATCAGCTTTTTGCTACTGTGACAAAATGCCTAAGAGAAACTGGCTGGGTGAGTGGTCTTTAGCTCATAATACAGGCGGTGCAAGACCAAGATCCGCCCCACTGGCCTCTCAGGATGGCAGGCAGGTTAGCAGAGCCCACCTATGGAGGAGGAATCATGGATCATGAGTTGAGCCAAAAAGCAGAGCCCTGGGCCCCATTGGCTTCTCATTAACCCTGTCCCAAGAGCCACCTTCTGTGGGCGTGCCCCCAGTACCTCCCCCTAGGCTCACTTGCCCGGTGAAGTTGGTTTCTGCCTTCTTACTACCTGTATGAGTCAGCTGTTGTTGCTGCAGTGAGCTAAGACAAATACCTTAGGATGGGAAAGAGGTTTGCAACCTGGTGGTTGGCATGGTGATGGCATTCTTGCTGGCACAGTCCTTAGCCAGTACTGATCCTCATGCCGCCAGACTCAGCACACAGAGAGCATGTGTCCATCTGTCTCATAAAGCCACCATGACGGAGTCGCAGAGACCTGACCCTGAGACCTGATCCCATCGCTGCCCGAAGGCCCCACGCACCTTGACTGCACTGTTTCTCCTCTTTGTGCCATTGGCATAAGGCTTTGGGGCCAAGCCTTTAGCACGTGGGCCTTTAGGAAACACCCAAAGTAGCACCCAAGCCATAGCAGTACCACTCATTATGACTTGGGACTTAAAGTCCTATCTGAGCTCAGGGACCAGATGAAGATCAAGCTAGGAGCCCAGAATTCCACTTACGTCTTCCCGTGGGTGGCAAGGACCCAATTACTTGAGCCATCATGTGCTGCCTTGCAGGGTATTCACTGGCAGGAAGCTGGTTGGGAAGGGAAGGAGCAGGGGCCTGTACCCAGGCATTCCTGTAAGAAACACCAGCATTCCAGGCAGCAGCGGAGCCCACCCAACACTTCCACAGGGAGCCTGTTAGATCATGGAAGGCTGAACAAGAGGGTCTTGAACTTGACACCGGAAGTCAGTTTAAACAACAGCCACGATAAATCCAGGTCCACATGGGGGTCTTAGTTTAACACCCACAAGGGGCAGAAAGGGCAGCATTCACCCAGCCTTGCATTGTGTCTGGACCTATCACCCTCCCTCGAAGATCCTGGTCTTGGGAAATGCTTGCAGCTTGACGATCCCACCACTGTACTGAGTTTCCCAGCTAACTCACGCACTGTTGGTGGCAATGTTCAGTTTAGCAGATCCTCAGAAAGATAGAAATCAAACTTGGGGCTTGACAAGTAGCACGTTAACCTGCTGCTTCTTGCAACAGCAGCCAGCAGGAGTGTTGATTCAAGTCCTAGCTGTCCCATGTCTAATCCGGCTTCCTGCTAATGCCCCTGAGAGGGCAGGCGATGCTGACCCAAGGATTTAGACCCCTGATACTCAAGTGGGAGATTTGTATAGTTTCTGGTTCCTGGCTTCAGCCTGGCCCAGCCTCAGCCACTGCAGACATTTGAGGAGTAAACCAGCAGATGGAAGATCTCTCTCTCTCTCTGCTAATAAATAATTAGGTAAATATTCAAAACAACATATTGTGCTAAAGGTTTCATCTATAAGGTGCTGGTGAAACCATGGCCCCTGAATTAGCAGGGAGCTGCACTAGGAGTGGAGGCAGGACTCAGCCCTAGATACTAGGACATGGAATGTGGGTATCACAAACATGGCTGTGCCAGTGGCCACCCCATGGCTAATTAAATTTTTAACAAAAGCGACAAGAAAACCCCATGGGTGGCAGGGACCCAATTACTTGAGCTGTGTACTTCAAGTGAAGTGTAATGTGTGTTTTGGAGCTATGGTGTACTAGGTGAAAACTCTGCCTGCGATGCTGGCTTTCCGCATGGGCACTGGTTTGAGTCCTGGCTATTCCACTTCTGATTCAGCTCCCTGCTAGTGTGCCTAGGAAGACACTGAAAGATGATCCAAGTCCTTGGGCCCCTGCATCCATGTGTAGACCCAAAAGAGGCTCCATAAAAATAAATAAATAATAAATAAATAAAAGAGGTTCCAGTTTTGGGCTTTGGATTCACTCAGCTCCAGCTGTTGTGGCCATCGGGGAGTAAACCAGCCAATTGAATATCTTTCTTTGTGCCTCTATTTCTCTCTGTAAAATCTGTCTTTCCAATAATAATAAAATTATTTGAAAGAGTTACACAGAAAGGAAGAGAGAGATTTTCCATCTACTGGTTCATTTCCCGAATGGCCGCAATGACTGCGGCAGAGCCACGAGCTCGCACAGATGCAGGAGCCCAAGCACTCGCCATCTGCTGCTTTCTACACCAGCAGGGAGCTGGACTAGAAATGCAACAGCCGGTTCTCAGTGCCCACGTGGGATGCTAGTGTTGGCAACAAGTTCACTAGCTATGCCACAACACTGGCCTGAGGATAAAGTGTTTGTGAACTTGAATTAGGCACTAGCTTCTTAAGAGACATCAGAAACACAGCAATAAAAGAAAAGACAAATAAATTAAACTTCATTAAAATGAAGAAACTTCTTCATGCCAAAAAAAAAAAAAAAAAAACAAAACATCAAGAAAGTGAAAAGCAGGGTGAGCGTCTGGCCTATCGGTTAGGACCCTGCCTGGGACACACCCCATACTGGACATATCCATACTTGAACCCGTGTCCGGCTCTGTTGCTGAATCAAGCCTGTTGCTGCTCGTCCTGTGGACAGGCAGGTGAGGGCTCAGTATTAGGGTCTCTGCTCCCAACCTGGGGTCCTGGCTGAGGCCCTGTCTCGCAGTGTCTACCCAGTGCAGTCCTTATTACTGCAGGCATTTGCGGACCAAGCCAGCAAGAAGGAGGTTGTCCTCTTTCTGTTTGCCTCCCAAATAATGTAAATAAGTAAAAAAAAAAATCCATATTATTATTTCTGATTTCATTTTCTTTTTTAAAAGTTATTTCTTTTATTAGAAAGACAGAATTACAGAGGGGGAGTGCCTATCTGCTGATCCAGTCCCCCAGATGGCTAAAATGTCCAGGGCTGGGCCAGGCTGAAGCCAGGAGCCAGGATTCCAGAGTCAGGAGCTTCATCCGGGTATCCCATGTGGGTGCAGGGGCCCAAGCGCATTTATCTGCTTTGCCAAGAACATTATCAGGGAGCTGGATGGGAAGTAGAGCAATCAGGACTCCAACCAGTGCCCACATAGGATGCTCACATCACAAGGGCCGATTTATCGTGCCATGCCATAATGCCAGTCGCATCTCCACGTACGTTTTCCGAGGTAAAAGTGAACAAAGAATTTGAACAGAAAATTCTTGAAAGAACATATACAAATGAATGCAAACCAAAAGTATGTCTATTAACTTAAAAAATAATAATAATAATAAGTAGCACGTGCTGACGAGGCTGTGGAGAAAATGGGAGCTGGGAACTCATCCCGGGACTCCCGTGTGGTTGGCACAGCCCAGTTACCGAGTCAGTTATCACCAGCAGCCTCCCCCAGGGTCTGCGCTGGCAAGGAGCTGGTGTCCAAAGTCAGGGCTGGTCAATGAACCCAGGAACTCTGACGTGGGCTGTGTGCCTCTTGCTTTTTTTTTTTTTTTTTTTTTTTTTTTGAAGATTTATTTATTCTTACTGGAAGGCAGATTTACAAAGAGAAGGAGAGACAGACAGATCTTACATTTGTACATTTGCTGTTTCACTCTATGTGGACACAATGGCTGGAGCTGAGCCAATCTGCAGCCAGGAGCTAGGAGCTTCTTCTGGGTCTCTCACACGGATGCAGGGTGCTAAAGCTTAGGGCCGTCCTCGACTGGTTTCCCAGGCCACAAGCAGGGAGCTGGATGGGAAGTGGGGCAGCCCGGAACAAGAACTGGCACCAATATGGGATCCTGGTGCATGCATGCAAGGTGAGGACCTTAGCCACTAGGCTATTGCGCCAGGCCCCTGTGTGCCCCCTTAACCTCTGCCCCTAAACAGATTCACAGTAATGGTTGTGGTTGATAACATTTCTATAGGTCATTGCATTATACACCAGACACAGGTGAAGCTTGTTTGAATTTTATGATATGGAAAACGTACTTCCAAGATGTTAAAAAAAAAAAATCCCAGATTTTGTGCAGTTGCAGAGGTAGCTGCTGCCTGCGACTGGCATCCCAAATGACTTCTGTGACCGGCATTCCATGCCAGTTCATGTCCTGGCTGCCCCACTTCCCATCCAGCTCTCTGATACATGCCTGGGAAGAGAAGCAAAAGAGGCACCCACATGGGAGACCAGGAGGAGGCTTCTGGATTCAACCTAGCTCAGCTCTGGTCATTACAGCCACACGGAGAGTGTCCAGTTGATGGAGGGTCTCTCTCTCTCTGATTTTCAAATAAATAACTAAATGCTAAAATTAAAAAGAATTATAGAGGCAGACATTTTTTAAAAAAAGTTTCCAGGTGTTGCAGCCAAAGAGAGGCGGAGCTATTAACACACGTGAAAGGGACACTACTACGGACAACAGTGGATTTACCTCAGTTGCCACAAAAAGAAACCCAAGTCATTTACTAACTTGAATTGGCATTTAGAACCGTCTGGCCTCCAATGGGGTCAGAGCCAAATAGTTTTACAGGAAGACTTCAGTAAAACCTTAACCTTGAGCTTCTACATTTTTCAGGGAATGGAAAATAAGGGAAAATCATCCAATTTACATTCAGAGGCCAGACAACCTTGACCACAGACCCAGGCAAGGACAGTGCAAGACAAGGAAATTACAGAGTAAGGCTTTTAACAGGGGGCAGATACCCTCCATAAA